GCTCTTCAAACCTGCGGATACCCAAACTGGGCGTTTGTCAAATCGGCGAGGAAATTTAAAAGACAAGCAGCAGAACATAATGCTGTGAAGATTAAAGACAAAAACATCCCCATTCCATATGTTGCTGGAGTCTCTAAGAAACTCAATAGGATTTTCTCGTTACAAGATCCTTAAACAGAGACTAGTGCAGCCTAAAGACAAAACCCCCAGACCAAATATGAGCTGGGTGGTATATGTAGTTCAATGCAGTTAGGAACGCTCTGATCTTTATATTGGAGAAACCAAACCTCTCCACAGACGCATCGCTCAACACAGAAGAGCAACCTCCTCCGAATAAGACTCGGCTGTCCATCAACACCTTATGGACAAAGAACATTCTTTTGAGGACCAGAATGTTCACATTTTGGTCAAAGAAGGCCGGTGGTTAAAAAAGGGGTGTGAAGGAAGCCATTTATGCTAAAAAAGAAAAAACAACTCAGGTTTCAGCTTTTAAAAGCCTACAACGCAGCGATAGAGTTGATTCCTTCCCACTATCATTGCAACACCCACATACCCTTTACCTGGGACCAAAGATCTCGCCTGTTCAGCCAGGCCAACAATCCCCTCTAATGCCCCCTTTCAGAGACATAGACCAGTATCGGGTTTTGCAGGCCAACTAAGAACCCAAATGACTGCCCATTCCTTAGGGATGGAGCCGTTCTTCCGGTTCAAAATGCATGTTTTCTAAGCCAAAACAAGGCTTTGTTTTTGGTCCTCTCTATAAAGCCTCCAACTTATCGCTATTTCTGACATTTTAAATTGAAAAGGCTTCCTGGATGGGAAGCAAAAGTCCAGTGGAAGCGCAACGTATCTAATTAGATACTCATGGAATGCATATATTCAATGATTAAATGCTTGACAACTAATCATCATGGAACTGCATATGCTATGTTGTCTTTCAGAGCTGTGCAAAATATCATATTCTCACTGAGTATCTAAAAGACTGACATGTCATTTTTCTTGTTTTTACCAACTTATCACCAGGCTGTTTTATGTTTTTCTAGCACACAATTCTCACAAACTGAAAGATGAGCAAGCGAGCCTCCAAGGAGCACAATGCAAACAGGCCTCATCAATCAGCCGAGTGTGTTAGAGACTGCAGGGACAGCAAGACCGAGTAGAAGCTTAACAGATTAAATATCCACATAAACCTTTGCCACGTTGTCCACTGGGCCAGAACACACACAGAAGACACAAGCAACACAAGATCAGGACTGAGAGATGAAGAAGTCGGAAATGAGCGGGAAGAAGATGCTGGGATGGATGGTATGCATGGAGAGGAGAGTAAAAATGGAGGTTAATAAAATGGTGTTAGTGTGGCATTAAAAGCTAATATAAAGATGCTGGATTGAGTTTAGGGGTTAAAAGATGATAAGAAGTGAAAATCCATCCATACCTGAACCAGGGAATAAAGATTTAGGCTATTTTTACTTTTACTTGTCTCCCCCCTCCCCACCCCCAAGTTTAAATGAACATCTTTATTGGATGGATTTTCCCTTGCCGCCGTATGGATGCTTACTGATTTGCGGATGTTGACTCGGGGTTTGGGCACAGGCTTGCCCGGCTTGCTGTCAAAGCTTTCCGGCAGCGTCGCCGATCCATGGCCACTCTTCCTGGCTTGCAGCGCTAACTGATAGGCCACCTCAAAGGCCTGGCCAAGCGTCAAGATGATCTCATAGGCCAGATTCTGAGAAGATGGGAAACATTTATTATTCATATTGCATTTTCTAACAGACTGCATATTTTCATTTTGGAACGCAGTATAGTAGTTGGAAATAAATACATGCACTGAAATATCTGAATACATCATCACTGCTAAGAACTTTAGATGCATTCTGGATGTCGCTGCCTCAAGGTGTGGCGTGTGCAATGATCCAGATGAATCTGATGAAAGACGGGGTGTCAGGACTCACCACATCAAAAGCAGTAAAGACATGGCAGTAGTGGTGACTGGATTTGAGGTCTTTGGTGATGTAGGCAAACGTAGACAGATCCTCTGGATCCTGAGCTGCACATGAGATGTTACGAATCTCATGCTCTGCTATGATGTTCTGAGGAGAGAGAGGAAGATAATTAGGGGGGGAAAATTTATATTTATAATCGGCATTGGTTTAAAAGGTTTTAGAAGGTGTTGTTGGAATTTATTCACTGGTAAATAAGCAGAGAACATTCAGGACATGCTACGTTACTTAAGGCAATAAATTATACATAATCCAAACCTTAAAGGAATGGATTTCTTTAATGTATAAGTTAAGTAGTTCAAAGTGAGGGAAACTTCAAAGCAGTCGTGAATACTTAAAAGTTTATATGCATGGAGAACATGTCACTGAACAAAAGCTGCATCTTCGGTTCAACTGGATAGTTTATTCTAACCATTGCTGGGACAGTGACTAAAATCAGCTGTACTTTGGAGTAGATGAAACAAAATGCTGCTTCTTTTCCTTCCTATAGCATTTATCTGTCCATCATTTCTTTTATCCATTATTCTAGCTTTTCTTTGAAGTATTTTAATACTTCTGCAAGCAAAGTGATGAAATTCTACATATAGACGAGGCTGGTGTTATGTGGAATGATTATCAATATCTATAATTAGTCATTATTAGAAGGGTGATTAAAGTTTTCAATAAAAAACTAAAAGTGAGGCGATCAGAAACATGTTTCAAATAAGTCAGAAGCAACATTAAATACTCTGCAATTTGTTGTTCTTGTTAATATCTTGGATTTCTGGGTGTTTTTAACTGTTTTGCAGCAAATATTCTGTTGATTTCAGTCATCCTGTGCATTTTCCTGAATAACAGTGTCTGGAAACTTTAGAGGCATAAAATATATGGCATAATAAAGGAAAGTTAGTCTTTATTATTACTTTTAAAGGAAAAGATAATTTCTCATTGGAGTAGCTCACTTGTTCTTGTTATATTTCCAGTTCAGTACTTAAAACCATGAAGCATTGTTCATGTTTATAATTATAAAAATTTATTTATCTAATTTGTTCAAATCCTCCCTCATATGGTATAGTATGCAGTAAAATTTAAATGAATTAAATAGCTTTATTTAAGTGGTGGGCATATCATTGATTGTTTAATCACATTTTTACTCTTTACCACTAGAGCAACATAGACCATAAACGCTCTTAAAAAAGGAAACATTGCAGTCATAAAACTGAAAATTAGGCACATTTTAATGCCTTGCAAAGAACATTATAATCTATTATGCTTTTCCATATTTTTTTCTTCACGTTCATAATTTGGAAACAAAGATGGATTTTGTCCCCATAATGGAAGAAATACAGAGTTATTTTTTTCCTTCCACATCTCTATCAATCTGCTTAATCAAATTTCAGATCTTATTCTAAAAGCTTGGTGATTGTTAACTTTTTCTTTCCACTTGGTTTTGGTAATTTTATCTTCTTATCACCATATGACTTATCACCACAAGTCAATATTTTACTCTATGTCCAGAGAAGGAATGAAAAAAGTTGGATTAATCAATTATTGAAATAATCGTTAACTAATTTAGTAAAGGATTAATCGTTAAATGGAGTGTAGAGACAGTAAAACGTGCTTTTAGCTGACAGAGTGACCCACTTAGAGCAGTAATTATATCAAAATTGTAAAAAAAAAAAAATATATAAACATTTTGCATTTAAGTTTTGCATTCTGTCAATATGCTCTATCTAGAAATCCACAAGTAGAAACGTTTTAGTTTAATTTCATTAAAAATCTTCTTTAAGTAACCTTTGGCTATCCCATTATTAATCAATTAATCTAAAAAATAAACAACAAATTAATCAGTCCAATTGGAGAAGGGAGATGAAAGAGTTACACCACTTCTGCTTTATAAACACCCATCTCTGTTTCATTCTCTGTTCTCTCCTCTATCCCATAAAGACTGTAGCCTGTTTGTGCTTCGGCCAGTTTTAAACCAACCACACTTCTGGCCTGTTTAGAGTCAGACATGACACCTCTGAAGGTCGATCTTTCCATCATGTCCGCTGACCTTTCATGTGTTATTTACCGTAGGCGTTGCTGCTATTGTGTTGTTACCTTATTGGTGGCATCGATGAACTTCACTCCTTTGTAGGACACAGAGAGGACGATGGTCGGTACTTTCTTCATCTGTTCCGTAGACTTCTTGGAGAGCAGAGGAAATAAAACATGGAAACAAAGAGGAGAGGGGGTGGTTACCTTTAAACTTATCCTTTTTTATTTCACCTTGTCTCAGCCTATAATCTAACCCCTTTGATTGGTTCATTAAATCATCTCTATATGTCACACCCATTACAATGAGCTGAAAATACATTTTAAACCAAATTAATATTAGATTAATTAAATCTTGGCATTTCATTTGACTCATACAGTAAATCTCAGTGCTTTTTGATGACATGCAGAGAATAAAACATATATGCAAAAAGCTTTTACTTATTCAAAGACTGGAGTAACTTTAACTTTCCATCGTCCCTCCTGAGAATCTTGTTTCTTTTTTCTCCAAAATCTGCCAACAGCAGCTCTACTTGGCTTTGCTCACTTGTCTATAAATCTGGATTTAAACATCAACCTCTGTTTTTGTTAAGGGATGGATAAAGGTACACTCACAATATACATTGCGTTGCCATTATTTGCAACGTTTAAGTGTTGCAAAAGCTGAGGAAAGTAAGGCTAGGTAAGCTTCTACGGTAAAAGAACATGATGATCCGATCAGGAATACTAAAATCAATCTCTGTACTGCAGTGGACCAGAATAGAAGGGCAAAAGAGTCAAAAAAGGAACCATTGATACCAACAAGAAAGAAAGGAGTGTCTGAACAGCTGAAAAACCAGGAAAGTTTTGTTTGAAAGCAGTAAAATGAATAAAAAGAATCCAATTGGACCCTTTAACTGTTTTTGAACGTTTGGTGTATTAAAACCAATTTTCAAAGAAAACTTAAAAGTGTAAAAGAGTGACCATTTTTTGAGGGGGGGTTAAAATAAATATAAACCGTGGAGAGACATTAATTACGATGCAATTAAGCTAAAATGTTTTTGCTTTCTGTCATTTCATCACCTCTGATTATGACAGGAAGGATGGAAAAATGTTTTCGGACCTTTTGTTTCCTTCTGTTACAGCTCTGTGTAAACGTCACTGTTAATGTCACGCTTCAAATGGTTAAATCTCTGGTTGGGAATTATGAATCATGCTGAATATATAGATTTCTTTAACTCTTCCTCTTTTTTTAAGGCGTTACTGATCTTTTTTAGCATTAATCAGACAGAAAATGGCAGAGAGCGGAGGTGGTGGGGGAAAATATAGTGTAAATCACAAGGATGCATGCTGCATATGTGGGCTTCCTTCACTACATACAGCCTCATTGCTTTTATTTATTTTACAAATACTAATTCAGTTTTGCCCCTTATGAGATTTGGTAGCTACTTGTAAGAGTGGACCCTTTTATTATGGAAATGTTTCCATAATAAAAAAAACAAAACGTGTTGTTTCCTCTCTGCCAATGCATGTGCGTCTGATTATTGACAGCATTTTTTCATAAAATGTAGAAGTGAAGTACATCAGACGGAGCTTTACCCTCATTTTAGCGCAGGCATCTTGCGTCGACTCCGTCCCTCTCAGCTCCTTCACCAACATGGAGCCCAGATACTGTTAAAAAGATCCAGAAAGATCCTGTTAGCATGTTTGTCAACACCAGATTATTGCTGCCTTATAAAACTCCTTTAAATTCTGCTTGATGCTTTCAGATCAACAAATATATTTATTTATTTTTTAAGAATAACAGCAAATTTCAGTGGTTATGGGCAGCAACTGCATCATAGATGTAGGAATTCTATAAATTAATGGAGGAACCTGCTTATTTAAACATTGAAAGAATCTTGGAAAAAAAAAATCCCTATTCATCTTTAAAAACTATAGATGCATTTTTGAGTCTAGGAAGAAATGGTTGTTATGAAAACTTGATTTTTAGTTTTATTTAATTCCTTTTTTTTTTTACAGAAAATGTTAAAGCTGGACTCATGTTTTATTCTCAGGCCAAAATGTGGACCTCAACCTACATTTAATCTGCAGATGGAACCTAACAGAAATGATTGATTCTGCAGTTAGAGTCCCCCTCTCTCCTTTCTGTGCAGTTTTGATGATGATGGCTGATAAAACGGTCAGAGAGGAGCTCAAATGATGAACTGACCATCCTGCTGACATTAATGGCACCAGCAGGTTTGACACTCGCAATAGGTATGTGGGAGAGTCTAGCTTAACAATAACTCTGTGTTCTTCTTTTTTTTTTATTTTGATTTAAATTTTAGGCAATTTATTTGATGCAGAGAAATGCCAGCAGCAGTGGTTGCATGAAGCTTTACAGCTTTCATAAGGGATGCTGCCTTCCAGATCCTTCAGTCTGGATGGGATTCATAGTCGGTCATTTTGAACAAGTAGAATTTCATTTAAAACCAGCTGTTAAAGATGGCAGTTTTTTTTTACAGGTCAGTTTTTATAACGACATCTGTGCTCTTAATGGGAACGACACTCAACACCTCGTAGTGCCCATCTAGCTTATGGAAGAGACCTTATTCTCTAAAGTGGGATCATAACAAGGCTTTTAGTGAATTAGACGGGAAGCGCTAGAAGATTTTCCTTCTCATCTGTTTAACTTGACATCAAATGTCTCACATAAAGTTCTTTATATTGATCCCTTATCATTTTTCTGGCATTTAAACAATTTTTTTCCGCGGTGAAGTCTGCTTCTTAGAGTATCTGAAGGTTGCTTCAAAATATTGATGCTTTGCCCCAAGTGCAGAGAATAACATTTAAATCATTGATGCGTTGGTGCTGCTGGAAGCTGTCCTGGAAATTGCATTACACCATGTCTCTGTTCCAGTCAATGTGCAGAAAATTGGGTTCTGCTGTCCTGGAAGGTTAATATGTAGGACAGTCAGGTAAAGGAAAGCTTCTGTCCATATGCTGACTTTAATCTACAGAAAGCATTTTTTTTCTTACAAAAATTAAATACCAGATTTGAGGTCAAGATAGAGAACATGGGGTGCAGCAAATATTAGCTTTCCCTTATGTGACTTATTGCGATTACAGTAGAAATTTTATAGTGAACCCTTGCTCAATATAAATGCAAAACATTTTTATTGACAGTTTCTTCCAGATGAGCAAATTTCTAATTAAGTTGATATAGCTTTAATTAACATATATATGACTTCATGTTTTCAATTTTATTATAAGATTCAGTATAATATTAATAATACATTTAATTTAGAAGCACCTTTCAAAACACTAAAGGTTACGTTACAAATGAACAACAACAATAATTAATTAAAACATCATCAATATCTATGATCTGTAATAAATATTTTCTAAGATTTTTTATGCATCTGTAGTAGGCTTTGGATAAATGTGGAAGGTGTTTTTTATTAGGGAGCTGATTTAAGACATCAGCAGGTTTAATTAAGAATAAAAGCTTTATTCTTTCTTCTCAATCATGCAGAGAAGAAAACATGTGAAAGTCTGCAAACAGATTTTATTTGGTTCAATAAACATCCAGACAATCTAAACAATATTTATTTTTTCAAAGTTGTGTTTTTTGTGTTGATAAATCAGTTTGGTTGATTAAGAACAAAATTAGACCATCGAGACAATCAGGGTTGGGCAGAGTTATTTAAAGATAACTCACTTTTTATTCAATCTTTGTTGAGAGGCAGTCCACACTGCCTCTCATTTCTTGTGAAGCCAATTAAAAATCTTGTTTTACTTTAGATTAATCTCCCTACAGGTTTCCCTCTATTTTTGTAGCTTAGATCATGATGGGAGTCGGGTGGTTGTGCTGATATCTGCAGGGTTGGCTGAAGGGCTTAGTTAAACCAAAGTTTTCCATGCTGTGGCTGGAAGCTGACATAAAGATGCTACCAGAGTCGGTGCTGAAAGTAGCAGAGTTTTTTTGTTTATTTAGAGTTGATTCGTCATTCAGTCCCATGCTGGCTTTTCACCATCCTTTCATTAAAACAAGCACAGCACTGCCTTATCAGTGTCAATTCCATCCAATTTTTAGCTCCTGCCACTTTGTTGGCATTCACTCCACCGTGCCTCTTGCTCATTTATCTCACTTTTTAAATTTCATTCTGTTGGAAATAGAGAAGAGAGTGTTTCTCTACAGGCCACCATGTTTGCCTGTTTAAATAAAATAGCATCTCTGTCTCTATAGAAAGAACAGATTAGTATAATGGTTAAGACTTGGCTTATTCTTTGTGTTCAGTCCTCAAACAGAGATCAAACTTAGAAAGTTATGATGAATGTAACTGAATGAGAAACCGTATTTCTTCACATGATGGCGAGGGATAAAAAAAAAAGTCAATAAAGCTAACCGTATGCAACTATAAAAAGCAGTGAAATAATGGTATTACTCTGTCTACATAACCAAAAACGCTACAAACAGGTTGCTTGGTAGAGTAGAAGAAAAAATAATTTTCACTCACATCACAAACGTTAAAATGAGGTATTTACTAAACTAATCTTTCATTTTAATTTTGGTTTAATTGGACTAAGCTTACACTGATGGAATTAAACACTTCAAGTGATTAATTGATTTTATTGATCTTTCAGTGGAGAAATGTGCTAATGTGTCAAAGGAAGAAAGGTGCATGGAATATATACAGTACTGTATATACAGTCCACATATGACAGCTTTTTTTTTTTAATAGTAGGATCATTATACAGGGTTATTGCACAGTGTGTTTAGATGAAAATATTTATATACGTGTTGCTTAAAATTGGATGAATATGTAAAAAAAGCACCTAATGCCAAATGTTAAGCAAAGTAAGTTTATTTTCCTTTTTGGAGTGCATGGCACTATTTTTTTTTTTATTCGAGATCAGGTGAACTGAACATTGCAATTGTGCAATACCCTGTTTAATTGTCCTGTTAAATAAGAGAGTTTAGACTTATAATACTGTCCTAATGACCAAACTTTGCCAGATGAGACACTGATAATTTTACTACTGGAGTTTTAGATTTAAGAGTGGACTGTCCCAAAATATGCACTGATAAAAATAATAAAAAAACAATATTTTCTACAAGGGCCAGTATATTTTCCTGATCTGCAATAACCCTACATCTCAAATCAGGGGTCACCAGCGTGGTGTCTGCAGGCACCAAGGGGCCCACTAGGACCACACTGTGTGCCCTCAGCATCTTCCTAAAGCAACACAATTCAGCAGTGGGTTTGAGATGCTATTTTTTTTTTTCTCTTATGCCTTTTTTATTTTAATAACGTTTGCATTCATAGATATTTCCTAATATCAATATCTAAAGTAAAATTAGAAATTAAAATAAAAAAAATATTTATTATGCTTGAAGTTTAGGTGAACCCTAACTCCTCCATTCAAAGGTCAGTATTGGTAGCTCTTTTTATGTCAATACCCATAAAGTAGCTCTTAGCCTTTAAAAGGTTGGTGACCCCTCTGTTAGATCAACCAGTATCATCGAGCTGTGAAATGAACAGCTTTCCAACGTTACTGCTGAACATTAGCAGCTCAAGTCAGATCAAAAAAGCTCAGAGAGGGTCTCATCATTGCCACCATCTCACTCCTGACCTCACAGTAACAGAAACATTTTGATTTCTCATCAACTCAGAAGCTGTTTGCTGAGAATCCTCTTAAATCTACTGGATTTATCCTTCAGATCACAGTTTCTCACATAATTCAAATTCTTATGACATATAAACACTTAAATGAACATTTCACCTTAAAATGTAACTTTTCTTTGATTAGCTCAACATAAATCTGTTCATCTGTTATCCTCAGACTTTAGCTAAACAAAGTTCAATCAACCGATATTTTAATTGATAATTTAATGACCAGTTAAAAACTATTTAGTTCATTCCTCTCCCTGAATGTGATGATAGTCTATTATTTCCAAGTTCTTTGCTCATATATTTAACTAACTTGTACAATAACTACTGTGCAATCACTATTTAATTCATTCTGCAAAATAACCTCTGCAACCTGAAACTTTTCCTTTTAAATAAGAAACTTCAGCTGTTTTATTTATATCTATGTATATGTAACAACTGAATTTCTCCACTGTGACACAAATAGTTTATCTCATCTCTTATCTTAACAGAACAACACTTATTTGCTCAAACTATTTTTCTGTTTCCCTTTCCATTTATTTCAGGCTTGCCGTCACACGCCGATTTAGCTCCGACTGTTTTACCGTATTTTGTCATAACAACCCAAACATTTTCATTTGACACATCCTCTTCAGTTCTCACTCACGTATTTCTAATGGTACTTGATTTTTTCTCTGCAGCGTTTTTCCTGCTGTAACTCAGTAATCGCTGCATTACTGTCTAACCCTCGAGAGGTGTGCAGCTTTTTCTGTACTTATGCAGATATGAAACATCTTTTATGTAACTGGCTAAAGGTCTGAATTTTAAAAAAACTGACTGCGGGTGAAACAGAGAAGCTTATCTTCAGTGTTTAGTTTCTTTGGTAAAACTTTGAGAATAAAAACATTACTGGGAATATTTAATTAAGTTAGATAATTTGCTCTTTTAAAAATGTCTTAATGAATAAAATGAGGAAATTCACAATGTTAGTTCAGTTAAACGTTTACATAAAACAATCATCACGATGACTATTGCATATTTATGGAAAGTACAAGTCAGTAGGTTTGATAAAATCAGTTAAAATGTTTGATTTATTTTTTCAACTGTTGAAAAAACTCTTTTTGGTATCAATCTGATTGGAGATAAGCTTTGATTTTCTCCAATTTACAAAAGATAAGCCAATAGTTGATTTAATATACAGATAATCCTGCAAAAATGTTCCAAAAAGCACCATAAAGGTGCCATTCGGAAAAAAAAAATCTATTTGAAAGGGATTCCTCCACCATAATGCTTGGTTTTGCTAATGGCTGATGCTACAGATAAGCTGAATGCTGCAGATTAGCTAAGTAATACTTAGATTTACCTGTTACAGCAATGTAAAGATAAACTGATATATACATTTTATTTATTAATTTTATCAGTTAACCGATCCCCGATATGTGCTGCCGATATTTTTTGGACGAAATTTCTTTTTCTTCTACTGTTTACAAGTTGTCTCTGTTTTAACAAAAAGAAAATATCTATAAACAAATAAAACAAAATGTTAATAAAAGTGAGCTAATGGTGGGAGCAGCAATGCATGTGATCTCAAGACATGGCTGTTGAATGCACTAATGAATCGGCCAAGGCATGTAGGTATCGACCGATAGGATACATAAGAAGAGCAGTAATATCAGCCAAAAATATCAGCTGGCTGATGTATCGGCCAATCTTTAGATTTTATTTGTAGCACTTTGAATTGTCTTGTTTCTAAAATGTGCTAAACTCGCCCTGCCTTACGGAGAGCTGGATTTTTTAATCACTGGTCTATTTTTTTCTCTGGTAAAATAGATGTTTTTATTTGGATGGAAGTTCATTAAGGAGAGTTCAATACAAAGCTGTGAAGAAACACAGACATAGATTATTCACAGTATGTTAAAACGGGGTATTAATGTTCGTATTTTATAGATTTTAGTAATAGCTGGTACTCCTATGTTTTATTGTTTTTAATAGTTGCACAAAGGAGCAAAGTAGCACTGTCTTAGCTCTCTACAGAATCATTCTACGATTGTTCTGCCCATCATGATGCATGAAACATACTTGTCCCTATCAAATAAATGAATAAATAAATAAATCAGCACAGCAGCGTCTTTGCATCACTTCATCCATGCTCAGTCAACCCTGTTAACAGCAGGCGAAAGATTTGGACTCACGTAAGCTTCATAGTCACAGGACTGAAAGATGAGCTTCTCCGGATGATGCTGCCAGTACTGAACAGGAGTGGAGGATGTCGCCTCGTTTGGCGGACGCAACGTAATCGGCTCACACCATTCGCCAGCCTGAAACGACAAGCAAACACACATTAGTGTAGGTGGGTTGGCTTATTCTGTCACAGCTTTTTACTGGTCTTCTGCTTTTTCTGACAGTTTAGGAGGAAATCTGAGAGGAAATTATACTCATGCATGTCCTGCTAAATCTTTGCTTTTCTAACATGGAGATTTCTTTAATCCAAACTACATACTTCTCAAATATCTGGACATATCAAGCTTACCGTTTGGCCCATTGCTTTATAATTTAACACTGATTTTTGCTGCCTGAGAATGTGTTCACAAATCCAGGGACTGTTTGTTCAGAATATGGGAGAGGGGAGATAGATGTGAGATGTGAGGTTTCTAAACCCGCTGTGACCAAATCTACAATTTAACTGGTTAGATATTTATCTTGTATTAAAACTAATAAAGATATATTTTAAAGAACAAGATGTTCCTGAAGAGTGAACAGCTGTTATGAGACATCTAATCTTGCAACAGAAGAAAGATCTCTCCTCCTGTCACTGTTATCTCTATTCATGCAAACCTGACATCCTCAAAGTGTTGGTTCATGATAAAAAAACAAACAAACAGAAAAGTGACAAGCACTGCGACACACACACATTTGGGATTCAGAGGGATATCCGTAAATGTTTAAGTCTGCACTGATGAGCTCTGTGATTCACAAAAAGACCCCAATCATAGGAAATCAAAACACAGCTGTCTGAATTGCAGCACAGTGCTGATTAAAAGTCAAAAGGCCTCAGAGTTGGATGCAATTAAAACTTCTTGGAAAAAACAGAAAATGTTAATTTGGTGAAATTGCTTTAGATACAACCAGGTATAACTACAGGCTGTTCTATAAAAGTCTGGTGTTTTTTTCCTAATATATTCAGATGTATTTAAAACCAGTTTAAAAACATTACAAATCGATACTGAAAAGAGCTTAAACAAAAACGCTGCATTCGGTTCTAAATGAACACACCCCCACTTTAACTCCCACCTGATGTCTGAGAAAAGTAATTTTTACATCAGGTCTAATTCATACTCATCGTCTTTAGCTAATCTGGAAAAGAGTTATGGAGGCAGCAGTTTTAATGGACACCTTCTCCTGCTCCTTCATGTAAGCCAGAGGCGTTCCACTGCCAGCTGGGAGATGCAGTCTCTCCAGGCTGTCCTGGTCCTCCTCTAGGAGCCTCCTAAGCTGATTCCTCTCGATATGGAGGAGAAGCAGCTCTACCCAGATTCTTTTCTTGACCTTATCTCATCACAAAAGACCAGTGCAGCGTCTGTATAATGGCGGCAGACACACCAACCCATCTGTTGATCTCCTGCTCTATTCTCCTCTTATTTGTAAAAAGGACCCTAAGATACTTTATCTCTTCTACTTGAGGCAGGAGCTTTCCTTCGTTAAGGGGGCAAGGCACCTTTTGCTGACTCAGAACCATGTTTTTGGAGCTCATTCTCAAATTGGGCATTTTGCATTCTGCCCTGGTGCATGCTGTAGGTTTTGAAAGGAGCGAGCAATCAGGACCACATCATCCACAAAAAGCAGAGAAAATTCCACTCTGGTCCTTGGCTGCACCTAGAAATCCTGTCCATAAGGGTAATGAGAATGACTGGTGACAGAGGGCTGTCCTGTTGGAGTCCAACATGCACCAGGAATAGGTCAGACTTCATGCTGGTAATGCAAACTCTTGCTCTGCTTACTCCTGATGTGCTCCGACCCCCCACCCCCCATTAGACACCATGAGAGACATGGTCCAATGCTTTCTCCAGGCTCACAAAACACATATGGATCATTTGGGCAAACTGCCACGCACCCTGGAGCACTCGGCAGAGATTATTGAGCCAGGACCAAAACCACACTGCTCCTCCTGAAGTTGAGGTTTGACATCCAGCCGGACTCCCCTTTCTAGCACTCTGGCATACATCTTCCTGGGGAGGCTGAGAGGTTTGACCCCTCTTCTAGATGGAACATACCCCCGTCCACCCTCTTATGGAGGAAACCAACCTAGTCCTACAGTCTGATGACCCTGTCCCTGACTTCAGTATCAGCCAGTCAAAATGCTTTTTTTTTTTTTTTTATCTGACTCCACCCTTTCACTGAATTACAGGGTCTGACCGGAAGATAATGCTTCTCTTTAGACCTTAATGTCCACAAATCAGGACAGAAAGAATATTTAGATGTTTAAAAGGGAATTGTAGGGGACTACCCAAGGACCAGCCAAGGGCCCATCAAGTAAAGTGGGGAAATGTTGAATGGCTACTACTGTACGTGTCAAACGCATCCAGAGACCAGAGGTATTCTCAGCAGCTCTCATCCATCCTCAGTGCCTTGCAACAGTGGCGTATTTTGATCACCATGGGGACTCTAGCCTGGATGATAAACAAATCTGACCCTGATCATCCAGTATCTGCTGCCACCAGGAAATGTCAGAGGAAATCCTCGAAAGTGTTCCTCCCACCTTCTGACAATGTCCTCAGTCACGGTTAGCAGCTCTGCACTCGCACTGTAAACGGTGTTAGCGAAGGACTGCTTTCCCCTCTGGAGGCGCAGGACAGTTTGCCAGATGGCTTTGAGGCTGACTGATCAGCAATAATTGATAAACATACCATTACTCAGCATTTACATCTCAGTCAGATCCAAAGAGCATGTCTGGACAAGGAAGAGCGGCTGCAAACGTTCTGGCACTTTTACATATTAGCAGTTCTTCTGTCGTGCAAGTACCTGAAATAGGCTATAATTGCAAAACAAACAAACTAAAAGAGAGGAGGGACAAAAATTCCTGAGATAGACGTCAGAGACTCACAGGCGGCTGAAAGAAGCGTCTCAGAAGTTATTATAGAGACAGGCTGCTATGTTCTAACCTTTTTGTGATACTTTCTTAAACTTTTGTTTTATTTAATCTGAGAATTGATCAGAAACACTCAAACACAAAGGATAAAGGAGAACATTTTGTAAATAGCAGAATAATTTAGTATTTTTATGCAGAGGAAAAAATGTTTTCGTTTTAATTATTATCAGACTAATCTTCCTAAACTATGGGAGGATTATTTTTTTCCTGTGAGAGTATGGACCATTACTGATCAGATTTCCGTGCTGATGCATCCTATTCCTCCCATCCTTACCATGCTGACTTGAGCCATCTGTCGCTCCAGCTTGGATCGCGGCACGTCGTCAAAGTAGTTCTCGGTGCTGCGCTGCCTGCGCCGTGCGTCCGCCTGCATAATGAGGTGCTGCACGTCCAGAGATCCACCGGGGACCCCCGCCGTATACGCTGCCTGGCCTACCGAAGGACTGAGCTGAGGAGGAGTGTGGTTTCCTCCAGGTTCCTGGAACAGAGCAAAGATGAGAGGTTTCATTCATTATTTTATAATGTGTTTAGCCACTTCTTCTACTGCAAGAGCAGAAAATAAAAACACAATAATGTCGCATTTATTTTTCATAATTTTTCTACTGTGTTTACAGCAACATCATTAACTACTAGAACGTAAGGAAACATGGTTCAAATTCAAAAGCTTTTGTCCTGCATAATATCATATCTGAAATAATCTATAGACAGTTTTTATTGTTTTGCAGTCTGTAATGGATCCAGTAATACAACAGAGAATATCAACCTTGTAATATAGAATAGTAACACGGGAATAGGAGCCTTTCTGGCGACCTCCATATAATATTTTTTTTCTACTAAGCTGGTTTATGTTTTTTTTTTTTATCAGCAGTCTGCTTACACACTGGAAGATGGTGAGGCTTACACTAATCATCTTAACAGAGTCATAAATTATAATCTAAGACATCAAAAATAATCTGACTTGGCTTCAATCATAAACTGTAAACACAGATTTGTAATTACCATAGGGCTGAAAAACCAGGTCATATAATAGATCCGTTACCCTACAGGACTTAATCGAGTCTAACATTTTAAAGGAATGATGGCTTTACTTTTGCAACCAGACAGCAGCATGTAATTCTCTGTGGAAAAGTCATATATTACAAACTAGAAACATTAAACAGCAAAAAAATAAATAAAAAAAATAGAACTATTAATTTTATGTTAAACAATATCATATTTACAGCTTTCCCAAAGTAGTTTAGTTTTCCTTCTAGTAGCTGGTTTAAATAGTGGAGAGGAAAACTAAGGAAAGGGTTGACTTTTTATGCAACACTTGAAAATTTGGTAACTTTGACAGCAGGGAGGCTTTACTTGGTTAAAAAAAAGAGGAAAGGACTACTTTTATATACAGCATTAAATTCCTATTTTTAAATCATTTTATTGTCCCACAATGGGGCAATTCACTCTCTGTATTTGACCCATCCCCTTGGGGAGCAGTGGGCTGCCATTTTGCAGTGTTTGGGGAGCAGTTTGGGGATAAGAGTCTTTGCTCAGGAACCCAGAGTGCAGGCTGTGGGGATCGAATCGGGTATTTGCACCCTTCTCAGAGCACAAGCGCACTGCTCTAACCCACTAGGCCATCACTCCCCACTCCCCCATGTTTACTCTGTTAATTTCCATTTTGTGTACTTATATAGTTTATAATGCATAGAGATACAAAAAAAACAAATAGCGCATCAGAAGTTTTGTATTTATGAACTTTAAAATCTTGCTAAAGCAAGCCTTAAAGGTACTGTTCACTGTTTTTCCAACAGTATACAGAGAAATTACTTTTGTTACACGCTGTATCTGGAGCGTGTAACAAAAGTAATTTACCTCTGGGATTATTAAAGTATTTCTGATTCTGAATCTGATATACCATCTGCTTACTTTACTTACCCGTAAGGAGATGGCCCGAGGAGGTTTTTGTGGCGTGTCGTCGTGTAGCCGATCCCCCAGTGATGCCAATATCCGCTTTCTGTGTCCAATGAGATTGATCTTCAACACCTTAACGAACACAGAGATAGAGTATTAAATATTGTTTCAGTGATTTAAAAAAAATATATAATTTCAACACCTGGAAAGTTGATGCTGCAAATATACAAGGTATGCAGGTACAATGTGTTTAAGATGGAAATAATTAAGCTGCTTTGGCATAAATCAAGTGGTTCATATCTGCAGAGTCTCATTCTTAGAAAGAGAAAGTAGAGCTTCAAACACAGCAGTAAAGGTGCTAATCATCCATTTAAGGAGTGATAAAATAAAAAACCAAAGCTTGATCGACTAAACCACAAATTGGAAGGTATCTATTTGGAATAGAACTTAAGTCATTTACTATACTTTTTATCAATAAAATAAATAAATAAATCCTTAGTAGAAGAAGACTAAAGACGCCTCTTCAATTCCTGTAGTCTGGAACTATTTTGATTTTGATTCCAACTATTTATGGATAGAAAACAGTCATTATTTGGAGTTGAATTTAACAGTATAGTGGACAGAAATGAAGGTAAGAAATGCCCAATCATATTAACAATAACTGTACATCCGTCTCACCATCCTACTAGTTCACCTGCTTCTCAGAGGGAACGCCTATCAAATATGCATTCACAAGCCTTGTCAACCATATGCACAGCTATATTTAGTCTGTCTGCATGCCTTCAAGACAATAACTCAAGATATTTACATTTTACTGCGAGATTCACCACTGAAATCAAAGCTCACTGGATTTATGAAGCACAATGGCGTTAGGTGAGCACATACTGTACCACAGTGTGGTATGTGGAAAAACCAGTAGCTGAGGAATGATCATCCACTGTACCCTTAGAAAGTAAATTTTTTCCTATTACCATATTTATTGCAAGTTACTGTATATTTTTTGTAGTTTATATAGATCTACAATTGATTTATATGTGTAGGTTTATGTGTGCATGAGTAGCATAGGGATATATTTATGTATTTTCTTATCTCATGTAGCATCATTTCATTATGCAATGGCTGAAGTCAAATCTAGTAAACATGTTGATGATATATCAATATGTGAGAACAAACTGGAAGCAGTAATTTGTTAGATTTGAGGCTATAAATGTCAAATTTGATGACTTTAGACCAAGTTTGAGTTTCCCTCACCTTAGACTTTGAAGCCTAACCTATAAGTCACTAATCGAGACAAGCTACTAAATCTGAACTCAACCTGAGACTTGATAAGTTAACTTTCATCTAATATTTGATTCTAGTTTCTGCCTAAGGTTCTTTCATAGGACTGAGTCCCCCTGAAGAGATTCTATCTGTAACCCATAAGAGACGCAAAAAACCTACATGAAACTGTGACAAGTTGGTAATTGTCTATAGGCTGACTAGAGGCCCTCATTAACCAAGCACAAAAGAGACAAAAAACACAGACTCCAAGTAAATCATCCATTCTGCCCTCGGTTACAGCCGAGCTGCTTGTGCCAGGTACTGAATTTTCTGAAGAGACAAGCAGAGACTCGGCAGCCGTCTGCAAGGATGTTGTTGGCGCCATCTGCACCTTCTGGCATCACACAGCCACACAATAAATTTCTGCAGAGTTTTATGTGGCTGCTGCTTGCTTCCAATAGGTATAAAAAAGAAAGCCTGTGTGGTTGTCTCTAGGGGAAGGCATAGTAGAATAAATCTCTGGTGAATTATTGTAAATCTGTTAAACAACGTAAAGTCTGTAAATAACCAATCATGACAAACTAGCTGGAAACTTCACTGTGCAGAACGTGGACACCATTTTGAATAGGTATTGAATCTTTTTCTTTACTCAGATATTTATGTTTGATTCCAGCTAAAGAAAAAATGGTACATTAAGAGAAAAACGCAACATTACTTTTTAATTCTGTGTTTTTGTCTCGTTGGATGTTGAGGCACCAGACCCCTGCATTTGAAAATGTCATCTACAGATTACACTTCAGTTTGACCTTTCTCCCTTTTATCAATCCTTTTTTTCTCTTCTTGGCATTTTGTCACTCACGCAAATTACAGCTTATCATAATAGCTACCGAACCAGTTGAAAAGTCATTTCTGAGAATATTTGCAGCAAAAGTAGAAAATGTCCGGGATGATGTGTATGCACCGCCAATATAAAAAGGTTATAAAATCCTGTGCCTCCTGTGGGGTTGAATCATGACTCAGTTCTCACAATCCTGTGTTATTAGAGACGAATAAGCACACACAAACGCATATTAACCCCTCCAGGGGAAAAAAAAGCACAATAATTGCCCCACATGGTGTGAACTGGTGTGCTACTTGTTGCCTTATGCAACAGCCTCTACTTCAGATACACTAGAAGCCTCAACCTCAGCCTGGAGTTCAATTCTCACCATAGCAACAATGGTTGCTGCAGCGATCACCCACACACACTCTCATCCCTCTTAAAAAAAAAATCTAAAAAAATCAACAACAAAAAACTAAAAAATCAGTGAGCTCTCACTCTAATGCCAGCAGCCTAAACAGCTGTTAAAAGTGTGGGGGAGAAGATTATATCGTTGCTCTACAATGGATGAGAATTAACCATTATTAAAAACACACACTTAAGCCTCTGTGATGGCACACCGCAACATCAGCCTGTTTCACATTTAAATAATTATCTATGCATACGCAAGTGTTGCACTTCTGTCACCGCATACTTCTAACACAACAGCTCTTCATTAAAGCTAAACTCGATTCAAATCAATTGGAGAGATATAACCTTGATGAGGCAACACTTTTGTTCCTGCATGACTGGGGAATAAAATAAAGCAGAGAAGTATTGTGGCTGCGTGAGGTTATCATAATGCTTAAAGTTTTTCACAAACCCGATAGAATGGACCA